CCCCCCCCTCCTCTCCTTTCATTCCCCAACTGGCTTTCTCCTGCAGAAATTACTGTGTCTATGTGGTGGAGAAGAACGTGACCTGCACACAGCAGGACGGCACAGAACCGTATATCAAGGCCGAGTACCTCAAGTGCAGCTGGGGACCCAAGTGCCCAGGAACTGTTGTGTGAGTGCAATGTACTAACGATGTTCTAACCAATACTCTTCTGTGAATAACGTAACATAGAGAGCCGCAGAGGGGCTCTATAGCTCAAAGGTGAGCCATTTTCACACTGCTTCTTGACTCTGGTCCATCAAGCTTAAGAATGAGAAGCTTTACAGGTGACTATTTGCCACTTCCATTTTCTATGGGTCATGAAACTTTAAGGGCCTAGTCACACCATTGCGTTTTAAAAGGGCTACAACACAGGCTCAAAGCGCTCTAAAGGAGCATGAAAACTGGTTAGCAATAGAATTTATGCAGCTGTTTACATCAGTGCATGGCGTTAGAGGGCAGGTGTCTTGTTAAAAACGCACATTACAGTATAGTCAATGGAAATGCATGAAAAACGCACTCCAAAGGCATGCCGTGATGGTGTGAACAGGCCCTAAGAGTACATGTACTGTAATAGACTTTTAAATGGTAACTGTATGTTTGTAAACAATAAATATATAAATATACAGATTAGCCCTGTGGTAGGCAACCACGGCACTCCAGCTGTGGTGAAACTACAAATCCCACAAGGCATTGCACAACTTCGACAGCCACAGGCATCACGGATGGCAGAGGTATAATGGAGTTTATAGTTTTACCACAACTAGGTTGCCAACACATAGATTAGCTCTTATAAGAAGAAAAGTTCACAGCTATAAGCGTCTAAACGCAACTACTGGCACTTAAACGCGCATGCTTATGGGCATAAGTTCCTGTTTTTTAAGTTTCTTACGCCCATACACATGTGTGTTAATGCTCATACTCGTGTATACAACCGTATGCCCGTGTACAGTGTTTTCTGTCCATTCAGTCCTATGGATACAAAAACGCAGCTGCTGGGTTTCCGGGTCCTCCAACTACATTTGTATTTTACACTGTATGCCCATATTTGCGTCCGTGTTATGAAGCCCTTAAGGGAGAAACTGAGAAACTACTAGCATCAAATTGTTATCTTTAGGCATCCTCATGTTTCCCCCTCTCCATCAGCTGCCTGTTTGTGTCAATTGGTTGATGCAGAATCTAAAGACTTCAAAAACATGGTCCCTTAACTGGCAGTAAGAACAGAAAACCCTAATCAAGGGCCTATTTGCACTGTTTTACTACAAGGCTTGTTTACACCAATGGGCACCACCAAGGTTGCCTGTAGGAATCATGGCGCCCCGTACAGCCTACCTGGCACAGCCGCCCAGATCAGTTGTAGTTGACAAGCCGTGCAGGCATTGCAGGGAATTCTCCTTGGGGGAAGCTGTGGTGGCAGCTCCTGGTTGGCCCCCCTGCTAATAGGGGCCTAGGCCCAGTACTGGGCCTACCAGCAGCCCTGGGCGCCACGTTAAAATAGCCCATTCATTTTCAATGTACACAATGCACCTTGATGCATGGAAATCACACCTGTGCTATTTCTAACAAGGCAGCACAACGCACAGACACTATTATATCATCAGTTATTTTTCAGTGGTCAAAGTAAGAAAAGATGACCTTGGATTGGTAACCATGGGTTACTGCACCTTCCCCTCGGCATGTTAAATAGGCCTCTGTAAACCTCTAATGCAATGTGATGTGAACATCATTTGCTACATTTAATTATCCACAGATAAAATGGCGTTCCTTCACACCACAACTCTTTATGAAAATGAAGAATTTTATTGCAAGCCAGCGTGACATTTTGGTGGGTTTTCCCACCGCCTTTAGAGAAGAATGTACCCCGCTGCTTTTATTTAATCACAGCCTGAAGTTACAAATTACTATTTGTATAGATTTCATTATAGAACATTTGTGAAAGCGGCAAATAGTCACCTGCAGAGCGTCTCATTATTAAGCTTGATGGACCCTCAAGATCCGTGGAATCTGAATGGACAGGGAGGGGATGTGGATGACTGCCCATCGTCTCTCATTTGTTCTATTATTGCCTTATAGGTACAGGACACTTTTCAGGCCCAAATATAAAATCGGGTACAAGATGGTGACTGAACTACAGTGGCGCTGTTGTCCTGGACACTCAGGGGATTCCTGCCAAGATGCACCTCCCATCCAACCAGCATACCATCCCCCTTACATGGGCCCCAAGGCAGCTCCAGGACAGAAGCTGTTCCCTCCACCAAAGTCTCCCCCTTCCTACCCTAACCTTCAGCCTGAGACTCTTCCAGACCAACCAATGTCACCTAAGAAAAGTGGCTATGGTAAGACAAAAGTATCGCTTGATACAGTGTTGTTATTATTAGTTGAAATTACATGACTGCTGTATATACTTTTTAAGCCCAACTCTCGTAATTGTTTTAAAATAATAGTCTCTTAGCAGAGGTTTCAAATCAAAAAAGCTGTTTTGGCTGCAATCCTTGCCTCCTCCCTGCGTCGCTGTATGCCGCAGTAAGTCCTTTTTGCCACAAGATGTCCTCGGCCTTCTGGGTTGAATGACCATCATTCAACCTAGACAACTGGAGATGAGTGCAGGGTGTCATGGACTCACCCACTGAAGGGGTTTCAGCATGGCACCAGCGCCCAAAAAAAATTTCAAATCAGAAGAGGAAGAGGACACATAAATATCCTGACGACATCTGAAAAAGCATATAGATATAGAGAAAACTGGAGAAGCTATGCACAGCAACCAATCATCTTCTCACTTCAGTTTGTTCAGTGAAGATTTGAAAATGAAAAAGAGAAGCTGATTGGTTGCGGTGCACAGCTGCTCCAGTTTTGATAAACTCCCCTCACTGTATGTCCATCAGGTTCAACCAAATCTCCATAAAGTTTAACCATAGTTTCAAAACTGAATAAGGGCATGCGTTGACGGGCTTTTGATTTCTCCATATTCAATTCAATGAATGTGGAGAAACCAAAAGCATCTTGGTTGATGCAACTTAAGAAAGAAGAATTCAGGTCAGAATGAGGCCAACTGCAAGTCAGGTGCACCTGTTAATCATATTGGAATGATCTCAGAAGAATCTCAGACTGGTCTCAGATCCAAAAGCAATGTATCATAAAGCACTCTGCATTGCCTTTCTACACAAGCTCAAAGTTAGTCAACAGTTTTTCCCGACTATCCAAAAACATCCTGACAGGCAAATCAGCTTCCACCTAAACTGGCCCTAGTGTCTGCATATCTTTCCACCAAATGTTATTGAGTTTTTCAAATAAGAAACAGTAACAATGTGCATATCTGCATATCTATGAGTGCGATGGGGACATTAGATTGCAAGCTCTGCTGGGGAAGGGAATTATGTCAATGATTCTATGTACTCTTTAAAGTTATGTTGAATATGCTGGCACCATATTAATATATACATGAACTGCACAATTGAAAATTGTTTTTTTTTATATCTGTTCAATAAGTGTTATCTCTAGAGGGATCTCATACCAGTATTATACCAGTGTTATCATCCCGCTCCTGTTTACCTATGTGAACTGCAGAACACCTCTCTCCTATCTTATAGAGATGCGAAGGTGTTCCATAGATCTATGAAGAAACAGGATGTCACCAGTACATCGAAGAAATGTGTCTAAACAAACGTCCTTTATTGACACATCAACATATTGTCACAAGGTTAGCAATGTTTCAGGGCCAATTGGTTTAAATTGATGAAGGTACCCTGCTCGGCCCTATAACGTTTGACAATATGTAGATGCGTCAATAAATTAGAAGCATCAACAAAGACAAATTTCTCTGGTGTGCTTGTGACATCCTGTTTTTTAATTGATCTGAGCGGCGCCATCCGCAGCACCCATTCTTTGGGGGTTTGCCGGTAAGGAGTGTGTTGGGATACCCATTGGATGTGTTCCATAGACCTAACACATTTTCTGACCTAAGGTGACAACACTACTTCTCCATAGATAAATAGTGAGTGAGCATTGTCACCCCTAGGACAAGAAATATGTTACTGGCAGGTTCCCCAGGTAAAAATAAAAGGAAGAAGAACCTTTAAAAAGAAAATGAATGCTGCCACCACATCTGAGGCCTGGAAAGCCGCAATATATTACATTGTTGTTCTTGAGTTGAGATACAATTTAAAGATCAGCCTTTGCCACATTAGCCACATTCGTGATTGTTGGTTTTGGCTTACAGAACTCTATTGATGCCCTTATTTAGAAAGTCCAAGAGGGTAGTTTGCCAAGTTAAAAGTCTTTTGGAATTTAAATAATATTGGAATGAAGAAAGTGTAGGAAATCCGTATTTGCCATGAAAGATTTTCTTTGATTTCTTATACTAACACTGTCCTATTTGCACTAGGGTTTCCATAGCCGTACTTTCCAATTTCTCAGTCAGCTGACTTCTAGCAGAGCCACCTAAATAAAATATTCCTCTTTTAATGGCTGCTGACAAAATCAAACAAAAATAACGCTGTTCCTTCCTCTCTGCATACATATAAGTGTGTACAGCTCTGCTGGGTGTTATATTCTATTATAAACACAGATTAATAATTTCAGGCCTCCAGTTACTCATGAGAACAAAGTTGCTTTATACTGCCGTGTTCTGTCTCAGCCAATAGATAGCACTGCTACAAATCATAGTTGAGCTTCCTAATGCCTTTCACAGCCAGCTGATCAGCCGCCCGGTTTCCAAAGTCCGAGCAGAACAGTACACCACTACAAAGTTATACGAGGCACTCCAAGCCAGGATTGTTCCAATCTGCCACTGCGAAAACATAAATACAACCAGCTGAGCTCTGGATCATTTTTCTTCCAAAAGCTGATGAAAAGAATGAACCTCATACACAACTGTACAAAGGTTTGAAATGTCAAGCTTACACGTCCATCCCAATAGAAGTGATAGAGAATTCTAAGCAAACTATAAAATGGTCACAAACAAGCAGAATCTCCAGGTTAGATTCCAGTTTTGGGTCGTGACTGTTTTGCATTCAGTTTTGTTGTTCCATTTTTATGCATTGACACGTTTTTAAGATAACATCTTGTATCAATTTATAAAAAAACATTTATATTATATTATAGTTTTGCTGCGTCCATCACTAACCACTAAAACAGTGAAAATGTTATATTAGTAGCGTCCAAATCACCGCTCCAGTTCTCACACTGGCTCCCCACCTCGAGAGTGGTATAGGTGCAGTTACTAAGCATTTCTCTCCTCTAACACATTACATACACCAAAAAGACCGCACTCCATAATTCTTCCTCCATAAAAATGTTTATTTCTTAGTCACAGTGTTGCCCCTGTTGTGGATGTCCACCTCTCATAGTAGAGATGCTACGATATGATTAGGCCGATGGGTAAAACGCGTTTTAGAGTTGGGTGGTCCACAGTGGGGGGGGCGACACTGTGTGCCTCTGAATAAACGTTTTTGTTCGGTGAAGATTTACGGAGGACAGACTGTTTGGTGAGTGAAAATGTTAACATTGCATGCAAGAGCTATCGATAACTTTTACATATGAAAGTACTATTAGCTTCACAGAAGTTTTCATTTTTACTTATGTAAATGGTTTTTATACCCATCTTGAGCCATTTCTTTTATTCGTTTTATTAGTTTGGGAAGGCTTCTTTGAGACTCTAACCTTCTCCCCTCTATCCAAAACGAAAAAAATGTTTTGCCTGCTGCAGGGATTTATTGTCGATTTATTCTCTGCCATATTAAACACCAGAGTAACGCTTGGCATTTCCTGTCCTGTACTAGACAGGAAGTTAGCTGTTAAATTGCTTTTTACTATACCACATTCATTTTAAGTTCACCCGCCTTTTTTAAGTTTTGAATGAAGTGTTGAAGTGTTTTTATTGATGTCTGTTGCCCCCACTGGGAAGAGTGTCTCTTACTCTCGGTAAGAGGAATCTGCTCAAGGGAAATACACAGCAAAAGAAATGTGATAGAGGTTCTCCCTACTCCTTCTTCCCCAACTCTCTGCTAAGTACCTCTTACTTCCTGTCCTTTTAAACCACAGAGGAATTGGAAGACAATCTCTTCAATGGAGTCACAGATCAATAAACAATATCCAGATAACATCAGATAACAATAAAATAAAGTTTCTAAAGCTTCCCCACTTTCTTCAAAGCTAACAAAAAATGTTTTCTCTATAGGTTGAACTCCATCTCTATAGGTTGAACTTGATGGACTTGTATCTTTTTTTAACCTGACTAACTATGTAAAAAATGTTTTGCCTGGAGATGGACTTTCAATGCCTTGTGGTCTAATGATCTCTCTAAACATTTACAAATTGAACCATGTGTAGTACTGTAGTAATGTAAAAGTCCTTTACATCAACTTGGGTTTGAAAAAACGTTCAGTTTACTGTACGTTCTTAATGGTGCATATGTCCCTGTTGCTGGTCTGAGCACAGAGGAACCATAGTTATTGGAAAACTCAACCCAACTAGTTAATCCTTTTAGTTCTGTCTGCAGTAGCTTGTTGCTAAATGTACACATTTTTACCCCTTACAGGTAGAAAACTGCCCCCTATATTTGGAGAACGTTTGGATCGTTTGGAAGAAGAGGTCAGACGTTTGTCTCAGTCTTATGACAGCTTACACGGAATAGTAAGCAGTTTGGGAGACTCTTTACGTCTTGCCATACAAGAAGACACCAACAAAATGATAGGCTCGTTAGTGAGCGGGCCAGGTTCTTCATCACAGTCATCTGTTGGATTTGGGGTGATTCCAGATGCTATGGCTGAGGCTCCTCATGTTCCTGGAGACCTAACTGGCAGAGTAGCTGAAGTGAGTGAACTTCTACGATCAAAAACAGAACTTTTGGATGAGGTGAATGGGATGGTGATGGGCCATGAAGCACAGCTCCAACACTTACTTGAGGCTGCAAGACCTTCTCCACTTACATCCACCGAAATGCTGGAGCAGTACTTGGAGGGCAAAATAGCTGAGGCACAAGCAAAGATGATGGAAGGTATAGAGGCACGGATACAGAAGATCCAAGGTAATTGTGATATTAAAGTACAGGAAGTGCAGAAGCAGTGCCAAGATGTGGAACAGGCAGCAGGTCAAAGAATGCAGCAGGAAATGGATGGAAAAGAAGTTGCCTTGCAAAGAGAATTGTCAAAATTTAGTGCCAGGCTACAGGAACTGGGTGCACTCGATGGCTGCTGTGGACGTTTAGAGGACCTCACTAGGCACGTGGAGGAACTGGAACATAGTCTGCACCAACTGACTGAAGAGCACCACACTCTTACCCAGAAGGTGGATGTAGAACTGACAGGGCTTTTGGTGGAGCCTCAGATTAGAGCAAGACTGGATGAAGTGGACAGCAGGTTAAACCTAACTGAGGAAGGTGTGAGGAGATGTTGCCAGGAAGGAGTGGAAAGAGGCCACTTGTTAGCTGAGTTGGATGGAGTAAGGGCTTCTGTAGATGACAAAGTACGAGTTTTGGAAGAGAGACTTTTAACAGCTGTTGGAGAGCTCACCAATGCCTCAGCTCCTTTGGCTCTGGATGGAGCAGTGATGCCTTTATTGGATGCTCATTTGTCTGGGATACGGAAAGAAGGTCTTGAGGGGCTGGAAGGAGTACAGAGTCGACTAACTGCTGTAGAGGAGCTGTGCGCTGCTGGATGTTCTGCACCTGGAGGAGAATCGCTCATAGAGATTCATAATGAGATCTCTCAGTTCCAGAAGCAGAACCAGGATGTCCAAAAACAACTAAGTCACCTGAACAGCACTGTTTTAGGCATTAGGAAGCAGCTTCAACGACAACATGAGGAAGCATTACAAGGTGAGATTACTCTGCTACAAGTTAACTTGCGCAGTGTTGGACGTTCTCTGCATGGTTTGGAAGAAACTGTGAACAGATATGCAGATGATGTATCCAATATAAATTCCACGGCTGAGGAACGAGGCAACCGACTGACAGAAGAACTTATTACTGTTCAAGGGCAGTTAGATGGACAAGGTTCTCAAATCCGCTCCAGCCGAGGACAGCTGCTAGGACTACGCGGGGATATGGAAAGGGTTAAAGTACGTCTTGCAGGTCAGTTAGGTAGTTGTCAGTTTCTGGCCCGTGAACTTCAGGGAGAAGTGGCACAGTTTGAACGTAGGGTGAACCAAGTGGAAGGTGCCTGCGGAGCTCAGGAAGCAAGCTTTTATGGCTACCTGGACCATGTCAACAGCACCCTAACCTCCCATGAACGTGGTTTGGAAGCCCTGAGATACGAGTTGAATAAAATTACACAACACGTGCCAAGCTTGCCACTGCCACCTACCACACAGGACACTCCTGAAGGCAAATAGCCTGTCCTAATTGCAGCAGGGGTTCTTCCTCCAACATGGTGGGCAACAATGAACAAAAACTTAAGGAACTTGAAAAACAAAATGCCCACATGAAACTGGTCAGAGACTTGAGAAGACTTTGGTTCTCAAAGTTTGGGGCAGCTAAGTCACTTTTGGGGGGTGGGAGGGGGTACACTTTCAATGCCACCTGTTCAGTGCAAGAAAAAGTGGCAGTGCAGGGATATGTGTGGTGCTAGGGCATTATTACTATACAAAGGACTGGACTTTCCACAGACTATATATACTTCAGTCTCTTCTTTTCTGTTACCCCGAGGCACTGCGAGAGCTTGGATAAAACGTGCTTCATCTCTGTACCTTTCTGAAGATAACCTCACACTGGGATGAACTATGACTCCTGGATAAGTACCCACATAGTTCTCTGCCAGCAATTGAACTGTCAGAAGTATGCAGGGAAACAAAAAAATGCCATGCCCGTATATATCATGCAAGGAAACAGTAAACACTAAGCTCAAACCAAATATTAACCCAATACATAATTTGGGATATCTACCTGCACACATAAACTCTTCCTAAGAACTGTTAATCTGTTCCATGCATGGTTACCATGTTTCAACAGGCCTTCCATTCACACGCATCAGTACAAAACACCTGATAAGGTAAACTGTATCTGGTATGTAAGCAGATTACATCTCTTAGCATTAGGAAGTTTGCTTCCACTGTGCAACACACAGTATAGTCTCATCTTTCATTGGTCTCCTTGTCCTAATAATGTTGCATATGCGCCCCCTGCCGGATGTCACCAGCATTACAGGTCCATTTAACTTTAATAAACGAAGCACAAGTCCTGGAATAGTGGAATGGGGTCATAAATCACCTCCACAGATGTACAGAAAAAGAGCTTATTAGAACAATGAACAATAGCTAGCCTACGTGAATTGCATATATATGATGGCTTCAGCCCTTTGTGAGGAATTGAAACCACACATTGCAGAAAAGTAACTGAGAAATGGCTTGTTGGTTATGTCATATGTTCTAGTTTAAACATAAATGCAAAAAAAAAAAAAAAATCCACTATTTAGTCACTTACATAAAAATATTCCGCTTGCTTGTATTGTCCCTGTGGGGACATGGCCATAGTGGCATCTGCATGCAGATTTTTGATACAAAGTGTGAATTTTTGGCCACAGGGTTCCCTGATGTGCTGGTTGGTTTACCTGTGTCCTAACCCTGTACTAATGACTAGCTAAACCAAGCAATGCCATAGCTCCCAATTGTCCCTCATTTGCAACCAAACCCCTCTGTCCCTCATTCCTCCTGAAATGTTCCACGTTTTGGTCTGGATTAGAGATTTGTGTAAATTAATGTATTATTTAATGCCAAAGTGGTTTACATTGCACTAAACTTTTTAACCATCCTTTAAATTATTGCAGTGGTTAGTGGTAATGTAAAGGAGAAGTAGTGGGGGAAGAAATTCTCTCTTAGTTGAAGTGATCAATCTTGCACTCAAATTCATTATAGTCCCATTGGAGGTTTGGCAATGGTGTGTCCACAACCTAAATATCCTGTGCTAAAAGGTGTCCCGCTTTATCATCTCTGAAAGTTGGGAGATACGGCAATGCTAAAGCTTTGCAGAAAGCACCTATCCTTCTTCTACATGCATCCGTTGCACCGCCCACCTAGCCAGTGTGCCACAAAGGCCTACCAAAAATCCTATGCAAATACTGACTTTGTATAGGGCACAGGTGACCTGTTGGAGGCATGGGGACAGGTGACCTGTTGGAGGCCTGGGCTACACTCAACACTTGCATGTTTGGGTTTTTGTTGCATACTGCAGAGGTGGGTGGTGTTGTGTAGTCATCATAGGATGCCTAATGCAAACATTTAGAGTTACCTTGCCTAGTTAAGAATCAGTACAGAGTCATTGTATATGGTCTGTGAGTTCTGTGCAGTTTGGCAATTAAAATACAGCTCTATGCTGCTACTCAACAGTGAAAGGAAAATGATGGTTTTGCCCATAGCAGCCAATGAAATTTCAGCTCTCACAAAAATAAAATCTAATACAAAAGTAAAGTGTAGTTTAAAATTAGTTATTTGTTGGCCCCGTCCCCACACTGCCCTATCACCTAATAGGCAAAGCTGTCTAATACTTACCTGCCAACATCTCTAGGCTCTCTTCAGTTACTGCAGTTAGGCCCGGCGCTACCGCAAGGCAAGTCAGGCGGCCGCCTTACGGCGCTGCAGGGTGAGGGCCCCGACACACGCGGCACCTCAGGCAGTCGCCGGTCAGCTAAATTAGGACCCCACCTGGAGCTCCTCCCACCGGACCAGCGCTGACTCGCCGCTGCTCTCCCACACCGAAGGTAAGTGTAAAAAAAAAAAAACATAGCGCAAACATCGGGGCATTTTGACAAGTACAAGTACTTGTCAAAATGCCCATTTTTTACAGGGGGTCGGGGAGGGGGGCGCAAAAATGTGTCTTGCCTGTGTAGGTACGAATCCCAGCACCGGCCCTGACTGCAGTCGTGGATTACATGGGTGCCGTCAAAGGGTGGGATCAATATTCATGCAAAGCCACTGATGGGCTCACTCTGCCTGAACGTTACCCTTTGACAGCACCCATGTAACCCACCGTCATGTCTTGGCTCAGCAGAGCTCGGAGCTGCTGGTAGGCGAGTACTAGGCAGCTCCACATTTTCCTCTCTCCCTAGTTTTCACACGAGGGTCACTGACCAAAAAAAATTTGGCTTTTTTACATTCCTCTCTAACTACTGTGGACCCGCCTTTAGAGTCTGCTTTGATTTTCCCTTTTATGTATATGTTCTTCTATTCTTCCTCATATCTGTAATCCACCATCCAATCCTAAGTGCCTTTCAACTCTGCATTAGGCATTAACTCTAATGGAGAAATCCTTTGAGAGTATCCCCGGCCTGCAGATGTCATGGCTGGAGCTGGGGCTTCTAAATCTGTTGCACATCTGTCTTTTGTGCAGAGTGTTGGACACTGTGGAGTGCAGGATTTATTTTCACAGTTTCTGTGCCGATATCCCGAGGTCCCATTTATACATTTATTTCATTGAAAAAAAAGCTTTGCAGAGTATAAAAACAAAGGGTTAGCTTAGAAGCTCAGTTTCAGCAAACAATAGCCACTTGCAGGCTGAACACAGTAGATAATATTTAGATGGCAAAGCCACGATGCCTCCGCCACAGCCGTCCCTGTGACACTTGATAACATAAATGAGAAATTCTTAATAAAATCTTTTCCAAAACTAACAAAAATATCTTTCAACAGTTCCAGTTTTTTGTGGATCCTGGAAGGGGCAGGGCTTGTACCTTCTAGGAGTGGTCCATTTTCTGGCAGGCAACAAGTGTAAGTCCCATTGAAAAAAAATGTTCAACCTGAACTCATTTGTTTTTTTACTCTTATATCGGAGCCGCCGGCCACCGCCAGAGAAAAAAGCTAGATTGCTATTGGCTATTTGAATTTGCAATAGCCAACAGCAGACTAGCTATTGCACCCGCCCACTGCTGCTGTCAATCAGCAGAGGTGGACCTGAAGTTCTCCATCAGGTCCTCTCTCTGCTGATTGACAGCAGCAGTGGGCAGATAGCAATCTAGCTATTCATTTCTATGTCATCTTTTTTTTTTTTATTCTGTCGGCAGCTTCTTTGCTATCTGCCATCAGTTCAGGAGGGGGTGAAATGAGAAGGGCACCTGAAATGAGAAGGGCACCTGAAATGAGAAGGGCACCTGAAATGAGAAGGGCACCTTCCTGAAATTACTTTTTATAGGTTGGGATCCCTGTTTATAGATATATTAGAACATATCAGAAAGAAACATCTGTAGAGCTTAGAGCAACTTTTCTCAACCTTTGTAACACAGAGAAAACCTTCAAATACATTGGTTCTAGAGGAGGAGGTACGGATAAGAGTGTTACACCAGAGTGTTAAGGCCCAAAAAACATTTATTCCAGTAAAAGTTTACAGCAAAGTCTGCATGTATAGCCAACACGGTCAGGGGGCTTAAAAGTGCCCCTTTCATGGAGGCTTGACCTATAGTTGGAATATTAAGGAATGGACCTATTGGACCAAGTTGGCACGCTTTTCAGCAACTGATAATTACAGACCTCAACACTCTAGTGTGCTGCTCTTATCCTTATCTCCTACTCCAGTACGAGTATGAAGTGGCTCTGGAAGACCTTCTGTATGTGAGAGCTGACAGCCAAGTGTCAAAACACTGTACACTAGCGTTTTCGCATTACCCAGTGGAAAAAAAAAACATTTTAGGGTCCCGGCACCACCCATTCACACCTCTAACATCTTTAATGGTGGTAAGTGTAGTGGTCACTTATGAGGTGCTCCTTCTCAAGCTGGCCAATGCATTAGTGATCAGTGGGAGAAAGACCCCCTTATATTAGTGGTCAGTGGGAGAAGGAAGCCCTTATGTTAGTGATCAGGGGGAGAAAGACCCCCTTATATTAGTGGTCAGTGGGAGAAGAAGCATCTTATGTTAGTGGTCAGTGGGAGAATAAGCTCCTTATATTAGCGATCATTGAGAGAAAGACCCCCTTATATTAGTGGTCAGTGAGAGAAGCCCCTTTGATTAATGGTCAGTGGAAGAATGATTCCCTTATATTAGTGGTCATTGGGAGAAGGAGTCTCTTATATTAGCAGTCAGTGGGAGGAGCCCCTTTTATTAATGGTCAGTGGAAGAATGATTCCCTTATATTAGTGATCATTGGGAGAAGGAGTCTCTTATATTAATGGTCAGTGGGAGAAGAATTCCCTTATATTAGCGGTCAGTGGGAGGAGCCCCTTTTATTAATGGTCAGTGGAAGAATGATTCCCTTATATTAGTGATCATTGGGAGAAGGAGTCTCTTATATTAATGATCAGTGGGAGAAGAATTCCCTTATATTAGTGGTCAGTGAAAGAAGGAGTCTCTGATATTAGTGGTCAGTGGAAGAAGGAGTCTCTGATATTAGTGGTCAGTGGAAGAAGGATTCCCTTATATTAGTGGTCAGTGGAAGAAGGATTCCCTTATATTAGTGGTCAGTGGAAGAAGGATTCCATTATATTAGTGGTCATTGGGAGAAGGATTCCCTTACATCAGTGGTCAGTGGAAGAAGGTGTCCTTTATATCAGTGGTCAGTGGAAGAAGGATTCCATTATATTATTGGCCAGAGGGAGACAGATCCCCTTATATTAATGGTCAGTGTGAGAAGGATTCCCTTATATCAGTGGTCAGCGGAAGAAGGATTCCATTATATTATTGGCCAGAGGGAGACAGATCCCCTTATATTAATGGTCAGTG